AGGAAACGAATTTCCAAAGTTTTTGATTGCCAAATAGAACAATCATGTAAACAAGCGAATGAAGAAACAAATAAGATTATAATAAATAGAATAAATCTGAGAGTTTACTATACATAGAAAACGGTTTCTTTAAGCTTTGTTAATAATACAAAATCATATCTGCGTGAATCGACAAGTTGCCAATGATAAATATAAAACGTTAATTAACCAGTCGAAATATTTAAATATTAAAAATATTTCAGAAAATTCAGAAATGGCAGAGTGATTTGACTTATATATTCGGTTTCTTACCAGTGCCTTCAGAAAATTCAAGGAATTTAAAGGAAAGATAATTACTGTAAATTTTCAGCGACGTCTAACGGCTTAAAATATAATTCCGGAATGTGAAAGCTTCAGTATTGTGAATTGATTTACTTTACTACAGCATGCAAAAGTGCATGTCATCACAACGCGATCAATTGATCATCTCTTAACTCTATGAGGGTATGGCTTTCTTCTCGCAGAAGACGTACTGAAGAAACAGCATGCAAAAAAATGAAGTGACAGATTATATAACACTATGGAACATTTTGTAAAGTAATGTGGAGTGTAGTTAAACATTGTGCGTGTTCGTTAATGAATAAATAAAAAATTCAGCAATGTAGATTTTACTTACATAACTTTTATTTATATATTGATTGAACATTGTACATATATACAACTTGATTTGTAATGTTGCAAATGTAAGCTTATAATTGCATAATATAGTAAATACAGCCAGACAAGCTACGTTTCAAACTGTACGTTATTATTATTCCCAAGAAATTTGGGAATAATCTGAAAAAGATATTTTACCTGTATATATGTCATCTTTTGTTTAACGGAGTTATTGATACAATGTGTGCGTAATTACTATACCCAGTGTATATTGTTTTAAAATGGCTCTTATATTTACAATATTAAAGTTATCACAAGTTGAGGCGTATTATAGGATCTACTCCCTAGACGTACCCCTAGTTCATAAAACTCATTTCCATAAATTATCAGTGATCTGAGATGTCAGTTCTGAAGAAACGAATAACTTTATGAAAACAGCAATCCGATGACTCCTCGCTAGGCAATTCTTAAGAACAATACTTGATAACAAAAGATTTTTTTAATTCTATGCTCGAGAAAAAATTCTGTTCTCTATTCCCTGATGGTTATCGAATGCAACATACACTGGCGAATGACATAAACATAAAAAGTCAGGTAACTGAACCGGATAATAAGATGTTTTCCTGTATTTAACGATGCCTTTCTGCCATTATAACGTGTATTTATTTTCCTGTTTATTTGCTTATATGCCGCTTTTAAAATAGCTATATTCATACCTATAATTTCTGTATGCCTAATGTTGAGATTATATTAAATTTTATGATTCCTACTTATTATTTTTATTGCTTTTAGTTTAATTTTACAAGAAAATGAGTTAGTATGATTTCTTTTGTCATTGCCAGCCATTAAACATAGTAGTATTGTATGACAAGAAAAAATTATTGATCTGAGCCGAAATTAACAAAGCTCTTTGCAAACTTTGTATCTTGTATCTTAATGTGCGATTTATACAACTATAATGAATTATTACTACATTAAAATATCTCTATATTTCGTCGACAGAGCGACTGACTTACTATTATAAATTGAGATTTTAATAGGTTTAAGAAAGCAAATTAGATTATCATACTTAAAAGTAGCAATATATGTATTACACAAGAAAAATTGTGATTTATAAATATTTGACAGATCTTTGATACTGTCCATTACTACAAAAATATTTTTAAAATGATGACAACAAAAAATGATGACCACAAAATCTTCAGATTCTATTAGGTCCACCTCATTAAAGAAATTCTCTTTTTACATGTTTCTTTAACTACATCATTAATTAACTGAAGTAATAAATAATTTTTTAGGTGCTGCGCTTCTTACAGAAAATATTTGATACTGTATAAGTAGTTTTGTTAAGCTAATTTGAAATAATTTTTATATTTCTGAATGTTTTGCAGGAAAGAAAGGTTAAACAATCTTCTGTTCATCCATTATTCCAGACTATATATAATATCAAATTAAAAAAAAAAGTTGGCAATTTGTTGTTATTACTTTTCTTTCAGGCGGTGAATTGCATTCTTCAATTATGTCAGTTAAAATATACTGAAACTTGACAATCGTTTCTCCTGGTCTAGAACTGAAAAAATAAATGAATTTATTGGGATTTTCGTTCCATTTACAATTACAAATTTAGAAAACCTTTCTTTGTCAATATTTATGTCTCGTAGTTATTTCAAGGTGCTTATTTCTCGAATAAAGATCTTTTAACTTTATTTTGCGTCTTTGTTGTACAATACACAGATCTCTACGCCATGTTGGAGCACGAATTTATTTTTCCTGCTTATCTATTGTTAATGCGCCAGTAAATTTCTTAAGAATAAGTTATTATAGAGACTTATGTATAACCAAACTCCTTAAAATTCACTTTATATTTTGAAATGTTTTATTTATGCAAAAAATGGCATGTCTTTTAAAATACAAACAAACTGCAGATGATGGTAATAAAAATGACAACACAATCGAATAATGTGAAAAATATAATTTTTCAAATACATTTAACCAGGATCCTCCATGAGATCGCTAAAAAAAGAGCATAGCATGATGAAAAAGACCCCAAACTTGACGAAAATAAAATGTTATCGCCAAAATGTTTATGTTATTATTAAGAGGAAAGAACAAAGTATTTTTTAATTATTTTTAAAAATCTTTCCTTCTTTTTAGAAGATTCTAACTTTTGATCAAAAAAACCTTGTTTCTCTTTGTGTCAGCGAAAGTACTAAATAACATAACAAATTTTAGCGCATTTTTTTATGACAGACATTCATTTGGAAAATCTTGCGAAAATAAAAATAATTGTCGGATTTTAATGAAACTTTCAGAAACTATTCACAAATAATGAAAATCATTATATGTTTTCTTTTTTAAAAGTCATGGCAATTTTTATATTTATTCCCTCCCCCACTCCCCCCCAACTAATTTTATGAGAAATCTATAAATTCAATACGGTACAATTTAGTGATTATATTAGTTAAAAAGACAAGGCTTTGAAGAAAGTAAATCATGTTTTGTTTTTTTTTCTTTTTGTTGAACCTTAAAATCAGCTCTGAAGTGTAAACAATAAAACAAAGATATTATTTAATTTCAAATCCTTCTTGTTGATTTTAGTTGCTTTTTATGAATATGGATAATATTGTCTGAATGCAAAAAAGATTTCGATGAAAATTTAATTTTTAGAACAATTATCTATTTCTTAAATTATTTTATTATTTTCACATTAAAGTTGTTAAATATTCTAAAATTAGTGAAAACTGTGTACAGTTTAGTCAATAATGTTATTAAGTAGATCTATCTTTACAGCCTTATAAGTTGTATAGCTTATAACAATCAGCAAACCCCACTGTATAAAAAAAATTAATTTCACATGACTTTTGTGTCCATAAAACGGCTGTAATTCACGGATGACCAACATGAATACAATAAAACGTCACGTTATTTGAGTTAAGCGTTTTCCCCGCTGTTGCGGCCTCTATATTTGCGAATCGTTCGTGCGAAACACGTATGAGGAAGTTAATTTGATTTTTCAATTTCAACTGAGAAGAGGACCTACAAGTATTAGTATCATCTTATGAAATTTATGAACTTATTTCTATATTATCTGAGTTATGACATTTTTCCATAAATGAAATATCAAAATTAATAATAAAATGAATGGAAATACAAATAACACAGTAAAATGTAATAAATGTACATAAAATTATAGTATTTTATGTATACTTTTGATAAAATTTCATAAGAAAGGTACCTATAAATTAATTAGATACCTTTCTTATGAAATTTTATCTCACTCTCATTTAATTTGTTTATAATATATTTTCCATAAAGCATCGTAAACGTAAAGGTGAAAGCTAAGCACAAAAAAAGAAAAAACAAAAAGAAAATTAGACGCTGAAAGTTTTCCTTAAAAATAATGACGTAAATAATTGGTTCACTTAAATCTAAATAATTATGTTACTTCTATCCTTCCATGCGATAACTTTCCCTCACTTAAGCTGTCAATACATGATGAAATCATCACTCGTCAATTACCAATTGACACCAAATGTTAAGACCTGCTTTGTCTTATTTTAAACTACATTTTTTCGGCACAGAAAGTAGGTAATGTTTATTTCAAAATATTTTAAATAAACTTTATAATTTCTAATTGTCTTAAAATAAATTTTGAAAAAATTCTAATTGATTTTTAAAAGAATTTTAAATGGAGAATTTCATTTTTGTTTACAAAATGGAAAAATGTTTGATATGATCGATTTTCTGTCAATTTTGCTGACTCCCCAAAAAATAAACAAGATTTTTAATGAAATGTTCGGATGTGCTAGGAACGATTAAAAAATGTAAAAAATACCCCAAAAATATTTTGATCTTACCTCTTAATAATAACATAAACATTTAGACAATAAAAAATTATTTTCATCAAGTTTAAGACTCTATTTATTCATGCTAAGTTCTTTTTAGCGATCCCATGGAGGTACCTACATTTAACTTATTTAGTATGTATCTTGAGTAGTGTACATGTGCGCATGGACCGACGAACATACACCTATACATGCTGATTACAGCATTGGAATACCGAACTCTATGCTGATTAAATTTACACATTGCTACACTAAATCAATCCATTATCAATTATCATTATGATATATGCAAATATAATAATATGGAAATTCTATAGAAAGACATTAACAAATACTCTCCTGGATTTACGCCCATGTATTTTTATAACGGTTTAAATTCACACACGCTTATTCGCATACAGCCACAAGATAATATTTGCATTTGTATATATTTACACAAATGCATGCATCAGTATGAACTGCATCTCATCTCTATTACATTGTCACGCTAGGCTTATAGAAATTATTCTTAACAAAACCATGTTTCTAATTTTCTTACACTCCTGTTCTATCTCTCATTTTATTTTTCTTTCCTTTTCCCAACAGTCCACGTCTTCAAGTCCATCATTCGGACATTCCAAATCTAATCATAGCATTGTCCATCTTCTAAATGGCGACAATTGACAGGCATCATTGCAGGCAGAACTGCGAAGAAGAAAGAGATGAAAGAGTAAAAGGAAGGGATTAAAGCAGAAACAAAAAGGTCAACAGTAAAGAGTAACAGTGAGAGGAAGCTGCAATGACGAATTCTGATCTACTAAAGCTCATAGGATCAAAAGCCATGGTCTCAATAATTCGAACCTACGGGAATATAAATAAAACAATTATTCTTACTGCTTCTCCCTATATCCCATGTCTTTCCAAACCATTCACACGTGCATGTGCGTCTGCGTGTATAGAAGCACACAGCCATATACAATAAACACGCATGCGCAAGCGAGTAAAAACATTCAGACAAATACGCAAGATTGCAGGACAGAGAAAAAGAAGTAAGAAGTGTAATCAAGACTATAAACCCAGCTAATTAAATCATTTCGACTTTGGGCAATGCACAGATTGCAATTGTTTCGCTGATGACTTCAGGCCCGATTAACGAGACAACCAATAGAGATAGATGAATCCATCTAATGAAAATTACCTCTCCTCATTCCACTTCGGGCTTAACGCCATTAACTCGTTCATCAGGCGCCCGGTTGTCATTAGTCTAGCCCTCTTCCTATCTATCCTGATCATTGATATGCATATCTCTGTCTCAGTAAATTAAATGGGTGTTCATAGTAATAAGCGTGTGATTAAGACAGCTGGTGACAGTGCAAGAAGTAAACAACATAAAGAAAAATGCATAGAAAAAAAAACTTATAACAAACAATGAGAACATTTTCGCTCGCTCTCTCTCTCTCTCTCTCTCTCTTTCTCTCTCTCTCTAACTCTTTTGTATTATATATATATATATATATATATATATATATATATATACGTGTGTGTGTGTCTAAGTGTTTATATGTGTTAGTAAAATACAATCTAATTTAAAGTCGGTATATTGATAAACCTGCACTCAAACTAACGTCAAAGTTTCCTTCAAATTTAAACACGATTGATTTGAAGTTGAATTTACAATTGAACTGTAAATACAAATAATTATAATCTAGTAATTCGTAAAAAAAGATCTTATGTTAATCATTCGATGTGGACATAGTGAAATAATCATTTAATTATACTTGTATAATTGTAATTTATTTTCTAGCTTCCAGCCTCTTTAATTTTATTGATTTTATTTATACATTCAATATGGCATTTGATAAATTTCAGAAATATTCAAATCTTATACAAAAGCAAAAATTATACTTTTGGTAAATATATAAATTTAATGTAAGTTTAATTTAAATTATTATTGCAAGGTCTCTCACTTTCTCTCTCTCTCTCTCTCTCTCTCTCTCTCTCTCTCTCTCTCTCTCTCTCTCTCGGTTTCTTTCTTCATCCTTCTCTCTCTCCATCCTTGCCAGTTTTCTCTCTCTCTCTCTCTCTCTTTTCTTCATTACTTTATTTCTATCGCTTTCTTTTTTTAGTCTTCCTTGTCTCTCTCCTTCCCTTTCTCTGCCTCTCTACTTTTTGTTCCATCTTTTTGTCTATGTCTCTCTATCCTTCTTCCTTTTTCCTTTCTCTATATCTATCTCCTTCGTTCTTATTTTGCTTTTCCCCTGCCCTCCCTCCGTTTCTCTCTCTCTCTCTCTCTCTCTCTCTCTCTCTCTCTCTCTCTCTCTCTCTCCCGGTGTCTCTTTAGATGTTTCTGATATTTTCGTTTCATTAACACTTCACAAAATAGAAAACTGTAGCATGAAACATTTTTTCTTAAAATTTATAAATGTTTTTGTGTTTTTTTTAATTTAACAATCAAGCAGTAAAGTCTTTTGCGTTAATAGACTTTATTGTTTGACTGATGTTTATTTTCTATGAAAAAATTGATCTAAATTGATCTGTTTCGTTTTAATATATATCAATTCATTAATTAATTCTTGAAGTTGTGAAACATTAAAAGATACAATGAGTATTTCAAATCCAACTTAATGATAACATCATAACAATTTTATTTCATTTGAAAATACTTTTTAAATATTTTGCACTTTACTATTAATGTTACAAAAAGAAATGAAATGTTCTCTTTAAATTTTCTTGGTGATATAATTTCTGATGATGTGGATCAGTTTAACTAATAATTTAGAATGTTTGTATAATACCACTTAAATTAAATTTTTTGTTAATCTCTTTTTCAGAACAAAAATTTACACTTTCACATAAGATAGAATGTGTTATCTTCAGTATCAGGGCTCACAATCAGCTGTCGGATGAGGGCTCACAATCAGCTCACAATTCGGATATTTCACAAGAAAAATATTAGAAAAGAAACAGATTTTATTCTACACTATGACCACGTTGTTATTAAGATATTGCAAACAACACGTTTTGCAAGTCAGTGAATTTATATTATCGTCGGGCTGACCAATATTGACACAAAACTGAAACTCTTAAACGTAACACATTACATTTTATTCAACTCTGGACTTGGTCAGTTATCGCCGGCTAGTATGTGGAAAGTGGGTCCTCATCCGTATGGGAACTGTACATTGTCGTGTGCAATATAAGTGAAACATTGTCTCACTGCCTTTTGGATCAGCATTTATATATTTACCTGTTATACGATTTTTTTCCACACTCACACATATCATATGCAGCCGGGATGATTCTGTGGATGGTTGACACGCAGGATAACTTTCTGGCAGAAAGTTATCCTGCGTATCAACCATCCACCTGAATTCTCTGAATGACACTTAGTACAAAATCTATTCTGGCATGACACACACGAAAATACCATTCCATTTGAAGACGGAAATAATGAAATCAATTATTTTTCTTAGGTGAATCTTTGTATTGAAATAAAATTCTTAAGGCATCCGTTCTGCATTTGTTCCTGTCTACATTTTATTACTGTTCATGCATATTTGTTTTCTATTTCTTTAAATATATTTTTATATGATATTTTCTTTACCTATTCACTTATTTGATACATTAGCAATCCAAAATTAACAAATTACGTGGAGGCACGTTTATATCAACCGCATTCCGGAGAACATTTCAACAATCTCAAAATAAATTAATTCAACATTTATTTTCTTCATTTGAAAAACATGAGAATGAATATGTTTATTATGTTAATACATACTCTGAAAATAATAATATGAACAAAATGAGAAGAAGATAATAAAACGTCGAATAATCATTAGGTTACCAGTTTATAATGGTGTTGATGAGTTTATTGAAGAGAGTCAAGGTTCTTGGGTTAGTGGGTGATATATATTTATATAATAGGTTGTGAATATATTATTACGGCTGTATGAGGTTTTTAAACAGGATATAATGTCGTGATAGTGCTGTACTGTATGCCATGCGACAGGTGGCACCAAGGACATTCAAGTAAGTTTGCTGTTGTTTAAACAGAAAAAATGTCACCAGAGAGAAAAGTAGTCTGATACAGTTCATCTAACATTACATATGATAGTATTAGAAAAATATACTACCGTAAACTGACAAAGGACGTTCTATTCATCCCAATAAGAAGCTAAGCTGAATTTATTTTTATTTGTCATATGACCGATAAAAATGAATTAAAAATTGTCTTACGGCTTTAAATAATTTACACATTGTTATACGGTTCATTAAACATTATTTACGGACCATGTTTAATTAAGCTGTATATGCTTAGATAAATAAGGTTACTACAAATATTGTAGAAAACCTTATTTCCCAATTTCTGATTACCAAATCTCAAGAGGAATGGCTCACATATTTTATAACTGTTAATGATTATAACAGTATTTACTGTAATGAATGGGGTAACAGTTATTGATAGAGTTGATAGAATAGTATTACTGTAATGAATGGGGTAACAGTTATTGATAGAGTTGATAGAATAGTATTGATGTAATGAATGCGGTCAAAATTATTGTTAAAATTAATAGCCTTAAATTTTCTCCGATTTATTAGAGAAAAGCAATTAAATTAATGCCTCGGTGTTTGTGCGTGGTTAAATTTTTACGTGTGACTTATTGCTATAAATAAATATAAACATTTGAAACGCCACGCAAAATCTAAAGGGTGGAGTTTTATCACCAGGTCATTGACCTTCTAAAAACAATTGAAAAAGTAAAAGTTAATATAGCCGATACATATAAGCAGATTGTGGAATTACTCCACATTGCCTACCAGTGGACGTCTAACCTCGTCTAGGTATCGTGTACAAAGCAGTATAAAAGGAAAATGCACAAACCCTATCTCAGTTATTTTCGTTCTTCAACTGCAGAATTCCATAGGGAGAAAACGAATCTCTTTTCCTTTACAGGGGACATTTTATTCCCCAATGAACCACATATCGCATAGCATACAACACAATATTATTACTACACTATCTCCTGTTCGAAAAAAAACATCACGCAGTTACAATAATATCTCCACTACAACCTACCACATAAATATATATATCTACTTACAATGCAAGATATTGCTCTACAACAGACGAGTTAAACTATTAATTCCTATAACAAACTACTAATCTAATGCCGCTACAACTTGTTAGACTCTGACGTGAATTGAATACACACACCGACAACAAAATTGTCAAAAGAATATATTTCCAGTCATATTTCTTATTCAAACTTTGCGATATTATTTTTCTCATAATTTGTTTTATTTCTGCCATTTCAATCAAATTTTATCTTCTTTAATATTATTTGCGTACGAATTTTAATGAAAATTCATATATTCCCAAACTCTCGCTATGACTTCTTACAATATGCTTTTATGCTGTGAATTTTGTCACCCGTTCTCTATTTTCACCTACGATATAAGCCATTTAGAATTACATAAATCTAAAGTTTTAAAATTAAAAGAAAACAGATGGAACACTTTGTGTTCCATCTGTTCAATGCACATTTTTGTGAAACAATAACTCCTTGACACTACAACATAAATATTTTAAGCAATAGTGTTTTTTAATAAAAACGCAAATACTTACAATCCCCCTTTATCTATGACACAATTTGAATTTCTGAGCAAATGAATAATTGGAGATCGCTTCGCTTTTGTAAGCTATTTTATTCAATATATTATTTCATTATTATAAACACTTTAGCAATTTATTAATATCAGAAATAAATTATTTTAAAAATATTTATGACCCTCATCTTAATTAATTAATAATAATATACGAAATTAGCAAAATTATTAGGCGCTGTAATATTTGCTTGACTGTACAAGTCGATTTGAGACGGATTGCAATACGTTAGACAAAAATTATTCATTATATATTTAAAGTACGTTTTTTTATGAATCATATGCATATATAAATGTTGAATATTAAAATTGTGTCAACTTTTAATTTGTAAACCTGTTTTTCTAGCAATTATCGATTAATTTTTTGCCGGAAATAATTTAATAAAGAATACCAATCGCGTTCACTGCCGAATATTATGATGTGATGTTTATAAATGATAAAAAGTTTCAAATTTTATCTAAGCAGGATAATACACAATAGGCCAAAAGTAAATAATGATTCTCTTTTTTCTTAATTAAATTATCTATTAAGAAATGTTTTGTTTTTATTTCATGATTATCGGTTTTGATTTTGTTTTTAAGATACTCTTATTTATTTTAAATTTAATTTTAAAAAACTATCTATAGAAAAAAACATTGAGGACCGATTGTTAGTTTCTAGAATCCGATTAATTCGTTTCCAAATAAAACTTCCTTATGTGATTTATACAACGATAACAGAATCGAAAATGATAATTTTTGATTTTTTTAGAGTAAGAGAAAAGACAATACTTGTAATCTTATAAGTACTTCTCAAAATAAAAAAAATATTTCCCATTTAGATTTGTAATGTATAATGGGTTAAAACCAGTTTGACACAACAGATTTATTTTAAAGAATTTTACTTCTGAAATGAAAAAGAACTCTTGAAAATATATCTATGAAACATGTAAGAATATTTTAAATGAATTATGTATTTTGGAAGTTGAAAGATTACGCTTGCTTTCTTGATCATCATCATCGTCTGCAGCAGCAGCAGCAGCTGGCATAACAGGAGTAGCACCTATATTAATAGTAATTGTATTAGTAATAGTAATTACTTACGATCAGTTTCAATCCAATGTAAAAAATCCAACTTTGCACTTTAAAATCCTTGAAAACCCGAGAATTACAAATAGTACCATAATTCTAAGATGTTATTTACCAAACTGTTGTCAAAATATCGATACTTGCTTCAATTATAATTTAAATAAAAAATTGAAACTAAAATGAAGATATTTTCCAATTGTTGATATTTTTCCAAATAGTAATGACAAGCAACTCTTTTAATGATTACAGAATGTAATATTGAGATCTGTATTATTTCTACACTACCAACAAGCTCTTCTGATCGAGATATTGTTATCCTTGTACATTTCTATTGATCTATGTACATGACAATATTTCAAGATACTTTTTTTACTCACATTATTTATTGGGAAGACACTGACAAGTAATTATAAAATAAACATGTCTTTCTTCTCTTGTTCTGTTGATATATGTTTTTTGTGCCAATATTTGGTACTCGTGATCTAATTAGTATAATCAATATCTGGTCTATCTCTAACGATTCCCGAATATGTCTATTACCATTAGATTACGATAGAAACATGAATACGGGTAGGAAGCCACGTCAACATCTATAGATAGTGGATGAAA